AACTACCTCCTCTCATACACCTCACTACTCCTTTCCTTCCCTGACCCCTACCCTTACCTCAAACCCTCTAAATAACTTACATCTCCACTCCTATGCTTCAATCACAAAATCCCCTCACACCTCAACTGATACAACGCCTCTCACGTCTCATCCCACCTCCCCTTCAATGTCGCCTGTACCCTCCACATCTGAAACCACCCCTCTATCCAAGAAACAACATGGTTCCCCCCCCAACCCCGGCATAGCCACCCTCTGGAATCATACACCCGACACCCACACCGCCAATCTGAAACATCCATCTCTTCTCCACCCATCAACCCAACTATCTCCAAAGCGCCTCTCCCCCTCACCATCCATACCTCATCCCGTCAACCTCAATACAGCAACAATAGCATCATCATCCTCCTCAAACCCCCAGAAACTATCTCCACCAGCTGTCCAGCACAACTCTCATTTACCGCACAACGAACTAACTCTGAACAACCTATCGCATGTCGTAGCTTCACTCAGAGAACTCATATCAACCCTTCTCGACCCTCTACTTGCTATACTCGGTCAATCTCACACCCTCATTCCTATTAAATCGTCTCTCGACCAACTAAACTACACCCTAACCCTCCATGGCTGCACACCCAAACATTAACAATAGTCTTCGTATCCTCCAGTGGAACTGTGGATCCTTTTACCAAAGACGCAATCACATACAACTCCTCTCCCAAGACTACGACGTTATCATCTTACTTGAAACCAGACTCGCCCCCCACCACAACCCATCCCTTAAGAACTTCACCATCATCAGAAAAGACAGACAAGACGCAGAAGGTGGTGGTGTTGCAATCTGTATTCGCAACAACATCCCCTTCAGAATTATCAACTCATTCCACAAACACAGAATCCTCGAATCCCTCGCTATCTCAATCGACTCACCAAACCACCCTATACATGTAGTCGCAGTTTACAGACCTCCATCAAGATCCCAAAGGCCATTCCACAACCACTACTGGACTGCCCTACTAAATTCCATACCGAATCTCACACATACCATCATAGGCGGTGACTTCAACTGCCACAACCCAGCCTGGGGCAGCTCACAATCATGTCCCATCGGGGACTGCACTCTTTCTACTTTTAACAACAACAACCTAGTATTCCTCAATGACGGGTCCCCAACCTATAGAAGTCGCTCAAACCCCCTCTACACATCATGTATAGATCTTACTTTTGTATCCCCCCAGCTTCTCACCATTAGCAACTGGCGCGTAGCAAGTGATAACTACATGAGCGATCACTATCCTATCTCTACCACCCTCGGCATCTCATTCACTTCCTCTCCCCGAAACTCCCACAGATTTAACTTTAGAAAAGCCAGCGCCGAAGATTGGTCCCTGTTTAAATCCACCCTTGCATCATTCAGTTTCACGGAAGCTCCATCTCAATCCACCAATGCCAAATATAACTTCCTCACCTCCAAAATCCTCGAGGCAGCCTCTCTCATAGTCACCAACCCATCACCTTCTAACCGTCCCCATAGAAACAAACCTAGTCACCCCCCCTGGTGGAACTCTGACTGTGCCAAAGCTGACAAAGCTCGCAAAGTCGCACTTAGAAATTTCAGACGTAACCCCAACCTCTATGACTCCCTTGTTGAAGCAGAAAACTTCGCCAAAAAAACGTTCAAAAAACAAAAGTCGGAATCCTTCAAGGAATTCTGCGAAAATCTCTCCCCATCCTCTCCCCCCTCCCTAATTTGGAACACCGTCAAAAAATTTCGCCACAAAGCCCTCTCAGCCTCATCCTCTCCTAGCAACTTAAAGAACGTAGACTCCATGAGAAATCTTATTGATACACTATGCCCCAGCTCATGCCTCTTTCCTAACTTCCCCACATCATTCTCAGCCACACAGGATACTATAAACTTCTTTTCCAAACCCTTCACCGAATCCGAATTGAACTTTGCCATCAAAAAAACCCGCACCAAAATAAACTCAGCCCCAGGCCTCGACCGCATAGATAATATTATCATAAATAAGTTACCTCATAACATCCGAACATCCCTCCTCGAAATTTTTAACGAAATCTTTTCACAGGGCACTTTCCCAGACTCCTGGAAAGAATACCTCACTTTCTTCATCCCAAAAGGTCTCTCCGACAAGTACAGACCCATCTCCCTAGCACAGTCCCCTCTGAAACTCCTGGAAAGACTCATCCACAACAGGCTGTCCTGGTGGATAGAACACCACCACCTCTTACCATCTCACCAATTCGGATTCCGCAAAGGCAAATCTTGCCTAGACAACCTTTCCATTCTCACTTCGTCCATCTACTCAAGCTTCGCCCAGAAAGGCTACACTGCAGCCCTCTTCCTCGATGTAAAAAGTGCCTTTGACTGCATTGACCCCATTTCCCTAATCCAAAATCTAAAGAACCTTGGGCTTCCTGAAAATATTTGCCGTTTCTTCTATAATCTTACCTCCTCAAGAAAAATCTCCTTCAAAGTGAACGGTGAGCTGCTAGGCCCCTACTCTTCCTACCAAGGTCTTCCCCAGGGCTGCATCTCCAGCCCCGCACTCTATAACCTCGGCACAAAAGACATTGCTAAATACCTAGACCCCACGTGCAAATGCATCAGCTTTGCAGACGACATAGTCATCTTCGCCTCCTCAGACGACCCAGAACTTAGCTTAGCCATTATAGAATCCAACACCCCCAAGACTATCTCATACCTCAACAAACAAGGCCTCTCCATCGCCCTCCCCAAATCTAAATTAGTCATCTTCACTGAAAACGCAATAGACACATCCCAGTACTCCTTAAACCTCGAAGGCACCCTTATCCCAGTCTCAAACTCAGCTAAATTCCTTGGCATACATTTGGACAGCACGTTGTCATGGTCCGAACAATTAAACCACCTATCTCTCAAGAGTGCCACCACCGTTAATCTCATCCGCTCCCTCCGCACAACTTGGTGGGGCGCCCATCCATCAACCCTCCTCAATATACACAACGCCCTACTACAAGGCTCCATTGATTATGCCCTGCCCTGCATCCTTCCCCGCAACAGCACCTTCATGCACAAACTCGGTGTCATTCAAAGACAGTCTATTAGAGCAGCCCTCGGTCTCCGCAACTCAACTCCCAACAGAGTAGTATATGCCGAATCGAAAATCCTACCCCTACCACTCAGGCAAGAAAAATTAGCAATGAACTACATCTCCAAAAGCCTCTCCTTCACCAATCATCCTGCCATCCAGTCGATCCAACATCTTTCCCAAAACACTTCAACTCCTGAAGGTTCCAGATTCCTCTCTCACCCCCTTGTCATAGCACTCTTCAAGCTTTCACCCCATCAAAATAACATTTTCTCCAGCTCAGTACCTCCCTGCTTTTTCTTTTCCATGGACAGCCAACAACTCAACCCAAACATCATGCTTTCAACAGGAGCCACTCTCACCACTGCCCAAGATCCAAAAACTGAGTTCTTAGACCTTTTCAGTTCTCAGCTATCCACTCACACACCTTTCTTTACAGACGGCTCCAAAACAGACCAGTACACTTACACTGGTCTTGCTTTCTACTGCCCCCCTCCCAATGGCCACACCTTCAAAGGTCGCATCTCCCCCCATGCATCCATCTTCACCGCAGAAGCCCTAGCTATCTACCTCACCCTAGAATATATAATAGAAAACGACATAAGCCACTCAATTATCTTCTCAGACTCACGTAGCTCTTTAGAATCCATAGCTGATACCTCTCCCCTCAATGTAACACATCATGTAACGATCCACAGAATCAAGAAAGCTCTTCTGGAGCTTAGCTTGGCCAATAAATCTGTAATCCTCGCCTGGATCCCTAGTCATAAGGGAATCCCAGGGAACGAAATAGTAGACCAACTCGCAAAGGACGCAATATCTAGCGGTACACATATCAATTACCCCCTTCCCTACTCTGACATCCAAGCCCTTTTCAACTCTGAAATATCCCTCAAATTCGCACAACTCATAGAAGAAGACACTTTCTGCAAAGGCCTCTTCTACATCAATACATGCTTCAAAACCTCCTCTAAACCCTGGTTCCATTCCCTCCCACTCACAAGAGACCAAGTCACTTCCTTTAGCAGAATGCGCTCCAATCATTACAACCTCGCATTCAGCCTTCATCGCAAAAACCTAATCGCCAACCCCTTATGTCAATGCGGAAATGACGTAGAAGACCTCAACCATGTATTCTGGTCATGCGAACGTTTCAACGTGCAGCGAAGCACCCTTCTGAAATCCCTCTCCAAATTCAAACTCTTCCCCCCATTCACGATCAACTCTTTTCTCTCCTCCCCCTCAGTCAAACTCATAAAAATCCTACATAACTTTTTACGTGACTGCGAAATTTTTCTCTAATTCTCTACAAACATTCTCACCTACTAGAAATCATCACCATTCTATCGTATTACTCTTAACTACCCTATAATTCTTCACGTTTACACTTCTACCCCCCCCCCCAATGTATTTACCCATTTGAGATGCCCGGAGCACTTCGGGCGGCCCGGGTACCGCTGGGGCGCGTATCTGCACTTGCGGCCAAAGCTGTAGGTGCGGTCGTGCGTCCCGGCGGCCCGGGGTTGCTCGGGATGCTCTGGACTCCCTAATCGAACAAACCTAATACTTCAAAATTCTTTCACCATGCCGCACTTCACCGAGCAAGCAGACGATAATAAGTTTTGTTAATGGCCGTTCGGACTGCGCTACTAACACAAAAGTAGCCTCACTGGAGCCACAAACCCCCCCCAAGAAGAAGAAGAAGAGTCTCTCGGAGACACTCGGAGAAGAACACTTGTTCATTCCATTCTCGGAGGCTCCCAGAGTCTCTCCGAGTCTCACCGAGAATTGGCTTGAACAAACCTATTGGTTGGTATATCTAAATATGTAAAAATGTAAAACACAACGCGCCGTGCATCATGTATATAGGTATACCAACCAATGTTATTCTTGTGCACTGTGCACCTTATGTCAATTTGACTGCGTAGGCCTTAACAAGTAGCCCAACTGGAGCCGCCCAAACGCCCTAAGAAGAAGACGCACTTTTAACAATATTTGTCTTTTATATTGCCCTCTTGGCTCTTACATATTAGCCTCAGATTTCTCATTACACTGACACGTGAAAAAAACATTTTGACAAAGTTATAAGTTTTGACTTATTTGAACAGTAATTTTTTCTTGTAAATGGTAAGCAAAATGTTTTGCAAAGTACACATGGTTCGCTTCTATAACATAGAACCAAAATCCGTCACGTGTTTTTCTTACGAGCCAAAAAGCAAAGTACTGGCGCTAGCAAGGTTAGTTATTAAGTAAATTGCTTACTTGTTACTTCACAACATAAAATGTGTTAAATTTAAACTTAGTTACTTTGCTTATTAAAATGCTAATTCTTGTCGCAGATTTGTTTAAAGCTTTAGCTCATAGGCCACCTTTCAAATTACAGTTCCTCTTTGAGACGTTTACCTCCAAGCTTATCCGAACTAAAGTCTTGAACAAATCAAACAAGAAAAAAGAATTTGAATCTTAGGTGTTTGTAAGTTGTATAAATGCTTATAAAATTCTGACATCCCTGTGTGTTCTGTAATATTCAGTTCAAAACAGAAATTTTTAATATTTGTCTGAAGTTTCAAGGGCTCACCTAGGGCATTTTTAATAAACTAAAGAAAAAAAATTAAACCACTAAAATAACGTAAGTCTGGTCTTTCCAGTTCCAAAGCCAAAGAATAATTGTTTCAATGATTTTTTGACGTTCGTGAGTTTTTTTGCAGTTATTTTAATAGCGTTATAGACGTATTTAATTGTTAAATGCTCTGGGTAAGTGCTCGAAGCTTCTCTTGCTTTTTAATAAGGTCTTATTGAAAAAAATGTATACTAGTAATGGTATACGTAATTATATGTACCATTGTCTTGCAGAAATGATTATTCCATAGAAATATGGAACATTGGTAATGCTCCTTTCATAGAGGCAACAATTGTTGGACAATCTACTAGTTCTATAGAGGCAATGTTATGGATTGGTCGAAGATTGTTTTCATGTGGTCAAAGAGGCATGATTGCAGAGTACAACTTGAACTCTTTGGGGATTAGAAACGAGACGTCTGTAACAGGTGGACCAGCTTGGTGTATGGATATTAATCATGATCAGACTCGATTAGCCGTAGGCACAGAAGATGGCTGCATCAACACATTTTTTGTAACCACAGAAAGTTTGATTTATGAGACTATTTTTGACAAACAAAAAGGGAGAATTTTAAGCATTAAGTGGGATAATACTGGAGAGATGATTTTTAGTGGTTCTGCAGATACTGTAAGAATTTGGAATGCCACAAGCGGTCACGCCATTCATAAGATATTATTAGCTAGAAAAAAATCAAGAAGAGAGACAATAGTCTGGTGTTTATCAGTCACCAAAGATAACATGATTATTTCTGGTGATTCCAGAGGTACTCTGTCAATTTGGGATCCCAATATGGGCACTCTGATAGAATCACACAATAGTCATGCTGCTGATATACTTGCAATGACTCTGTCAGATGACAAAAATGTTATATATTGCGCTGGAGTCGACCCTGTGATCAGAACATTTTGTAGGATAAACAACAAATCTCTCGGCAAAACTCAATGGCGCAGAAGCATTGAGAGAAGAATACACATTCACGATGTGCGTGCGCTTGTTGAGACGAATGGTAAACTGTACTCTGCTGGAGTTGATGGTTACCTAGCGTATTCCAGTTATCCTCCTAAAATTTTGGTCAAATATCCACCTCTACTACAATCCCCTGCTGCTCACGTGTGTTCTAAGTCAAAATGCATTTTACTAAGATATCATAATTATTTGGAATTGTGGAAACTGGGATCAATAGATGTTAGTTTGAATAGTGTGGTAAATGCTGGAGAATCTTATCATTTAGATCAAGTACCAGTCAAATTATTAGAACTAAGAACTAAGTTGGGCGAGAACATAACTGCATGTGCTACAACAAAAGATTCAAGAATAATTGTATATTCTACAGAAAGTCATCTAAGGGTATTTAACTTTAATCTAGTTGAAGGAGAGACTCATCTTTGCAAACAGCTGAGTGATATACCCAACAAGAGGGTTCATAAAATGATTTTCAGCTCAAACGATGAACTGTTTGTTACTGCTAACAATGATGGCCAGGCAAACGTAATTTCCTTATATTCTGTAAACAAAGAATATGATATCAGTTTCTTGGGATCTTTCTCAACTGATGGGGAAAAAATCAAAAGAGTTGGATTGATGTGCATTTCTTCAGATAACAAGTATTTAGTTTGTGCTGATTCTGCAAGTCACATAGTAGTATATAATATACAAGGTGATCTAAGCACTGAATCTTTAAGTAGATGGTCTCTTCTAAAATATTCTTGCCCACCAACTGCAATGGCCATACAAGATGATACCCATAATTTAGTTATTGTTTACTCCGATCATAAGGTAATAATATTTTTAAAAATTGCCCATGAAAATTAGGATAATTTTGTGTTATAAATTTTTTAATAATTCTTTTTACAGATTATTGAGTACAGTATTTCGAAAAACAAGTATACTACATTTTCAAATAGCTTACAAGGACATTTGCCTGCACAGTGGCTAGCAAGACCTTTCCCTATTATCAATATCGCATTTCATGCACATAATAAGGATATAATTATATTACATGACGATACAACTATTTTTGTCATGAATAAATCACATGGTCTTCCAAATATATTGGCAAAGATTCCAAAGTTAGAGAATGGTGACAGTAAAGAAGAAAATAGTGTCAAATCTGGTTCAACAAGCGCTCAACATGCTATACAAGTAGTAAAAAAGTCTAAGGTACATATTTCAATATACAATGATGCTCTATTAACCATACAGTCATCTATTTATATTCGTTTTTTACTTCAGCACTTGGCACAATTAGCATGGTTAAAAAACTCAGAATTGGTTGCCGTTGAAGTTGATCCAATTTCATTAGTGGAAAAATTACCCCCTACCCTTAAGCAAAAAAGGTTTGGCATATAAATTTTACTTTTTGCGTAAGTGTCAAAACCTTGCTGAAGATGGTACTTATAACAACGTTTTGTAAGTAAGAGTAGATAATTAATATGCAATGTAAATACTGTATATTTGTATTGTATAAAGTGATGTATGAGTTGTACTGCATAATAAAGAAAATATAGATACTTTTACATTCAAAATTACTCTTATTATAACTGAATGTAACTTACTTTTCTTGTAATTGCAGTACATAATAATTATAGGGCCTTTCTTAACGTGGTGTGTAATTGAGTTTATCGCTCCTGAAAATTAAGAATGAGAACTTATCTACCTTTATGATGCGAGTGAATGTACGGCTAGGTAGCTCAAGTGGTAGAGCAACTGTCTATTACACAGGATGTTGTGTGTTCGATCCACACCAGTCCTGGTGCTTAGTAAATAAAAAATAACGCGGGTGGTACTTTTCACTCACAGACAAAGATAAGTAGGAAGATTTTTTTTTTTTTTTCCCCAAGGTAGTGGCTACCCTAGCTGCCTGCCAGGTTTCGACAAATCCCTATTTTTATTGGCTCCTTCTATTGTTTGTTTTCTTAGCTCAGCTCCCGAGGCCCCTCAATACCTTACCAACGCAATAAAAAATTTAGTAAACAAATGTATCTAATCAACGTATTGAAAACTGCTCTTTCCGAAAATACAAGTAGTAAAAACTGCTCCCTCTTGTTTATTTAGTTAACGCAAATTAAAGAATCCTGCGAGAGGAGACACTTTACAAGTCGATGTCTCAGTTAATAAACAATAATTTGTAATGATTCTTGTTCAAAAAAACTGCTCTTAATCTACAAAGCTGTTCTAGTATCTAATTGTCACCATTATCTATTTATCATTGGTAAAAATCGATTTTTTGATATTGCTCTATGAATCACATCGTTTCTAGGGGATTTTTGCATTTTGTATGTTGGCTGCATCTACTTGTGTATATGTACATATATATATGCATACAAAAAATATATATATAT